TTTTCTAGATTGTTGGAAATTCGATTTTCTATAAACTGGAAAATCCCCACGGAATTCCCATATGTACTCTTTGAAATTCGCCGAGCATTTTCCATAAATAATTTCCAACCTTACAGTGTATATGGTAAGAGTTATCATCAACTGTGAGAAATAAAGACGATCTATCATTACTAATTAAACAACACAATGTTTGTACAAGTCATACTGTATCTTTTAAAGACTATTTATCATGTTCTGAAAATAAAAAGTTCTTAGTATGCCAGTATCAAATGAAAACCGAACGAGAGTCATGTTCTGGTTTTTTCCGAGATCTAAACTGTATTTTTCTCTAAATTATCGAGATCTGTTGCATGTTTTTTCTATCAACTAAACACATCCACATTCATTTAATGTAATTTATTTAATTCATTATTCACAATTAAAAATATCTTTATAATGGAAAAACGTACACTCAAGAAAGGCGTGAACGGCAGTATCAGTCGTAGTCGATTCGAGACTCAACGTAAAATGTCTGTGTCTTGCAGAGTTTATATATCATCAAGAAAAACGGAGGACTGCTTTTTCAAATCCATCAGTTGTATAAGTTTTTTCTCTAAACTCTGTATTGCATAATAACGTAAATAAAGTTTTAGTAGATTTTTAACTTTTTGATAGTTTCTGGAAGGGAAGAAAAGAGAGAAAAACAGTGCATAAATTACAGTCAAGAAGAAAGAAAAACAATTAATATTTTCTCTTTCAAAATAACACGTTTTCGTTCTGTGTTTATCTAAGTTTTGTGCGCTCTCTCGCATAAGATGAAGAAAAACTAATAAAAATTTGGATCTCATTATTAGGGGTGGCACATTACTATTACTTTTAAGAGTAATCCAAATATTGTATATATTCCTATTACCAGTAACAGTAATACTTTCCAGTTTTACTGTTGCCGGTACAAATTTTATGAGCGTTCCTATTACCAGCAACAGCAAAACTGGAAAGTATTACTGTTACTGGTAATAGGAATATATACAATATTTGGATTACTCGTAAAAGTAACAGTAATGTGCCACCCCTACTCATTATTTCATGGTAATTATTAGCGAAACATGCAACTCTACGCATTTTTTATGTTTTTTTCTCTTTCTTTCTTTTACCATTTGCATTTATCGTTTTGTTAAACTCAATATTAATCATAATACAGAATAACAAGTAAAAGTAAGACGTAAACTTTGTTATTTGTGTGAGAATTTCGTTGTGTTACATAACTTTCCTGCGAAAAACCACCTTAAATCAGACAAATCCATTGAGAGTATAATCTGATACTTATCTTTCTGATACTTATCTATTCATTTTACGAGACCACACTGATAGATTGATAGATTCATGCAGTTCGAGCTGAAAAATAATATAAACTGATAGATTATATTTCATTCTTTGGAATGGCTGTTGCCACTCTCTGAGGGTGTCAAAAGGCGTCGTTGTATTTTAACTCATAACTAATATCGGCACGTCAGCATAGATGTGCATTGCCAACGCACATCTATTCTGACGACATTTGCTGAAAACATTTGAAATGTTCCAGTGAGTGTGAAATCGAAACGAAGAGAGAACAATGTCTCGTGAAATATAAAGATAAACACGTAAAACTGTGTATGTGTGCGGAATGAGGGGGCAGAGAAGATGACTGTGATTATTTATATAACCAGCCAAGTGTACCAATATTTTTGTTTTGTCTCTGCGCGTCCTATATACAAAAGAAGAGTTTTGTTCGGCAATTTCTGTATTTGTTCCCATGTCCTGCAGAAAGTGTATATCTGCGCAAGATCTGTCAAGTTTCTTGATCTCAAAGAACGTTCAACAATTTTTGTCAAGATCTTGGCAAGTATTTTTGAGGAATCTGCCTACAAAAATCTTGATCAAGATCTTGACAAGATTTGAAAACTTTTCTGTAATTAACAAAACCTTTGCTAACAAAGAAAGTTAGCAATCATTTTGATTACGACATGACTCAGAGGTTCGACAAAAAAAATGTAAATATGTCAATTTTACATTTATTTATAGTTATTGCAGCACTACAGTGTAGAGGACTCCTGTTAAAATTCTGTTGGTCGATAGGGTAGACGAATAAAGATGTTATTCTTGCAATCACTATTTAGTTTGACATTGTTCTTGCATATATAAGAACAAGGTAACGCTGGTCTCCACTCGCTTGGTCCCTTGACTTTATTAAGTTGGATCTGTGGAAGCGAACGTCCTTTGGTGACTTTTTAATCGAACACAATGCTCATGCCTTCCTTTGTTCGGCGCTCGCTGGGGGCCTAACTAAGGCATCTTCTGGAGTTTTGTTCATTTTTTATGTTTGAGGTTCGTAGTCCGATATTAATATATAAATCAAGAATCTCTAGAGGTCTAAACATATTCTGAATTAAAAACAATGCTCACGCCTCCCTTCGGTCGGCGCTCGCTGGAAATCTACCTAAGACATCTTCTGGATTTTTTTCTGTTTTCACGTGTAAGGTTCGTAAACTAATATAAATAGAGCAAAAATCTCAAAAGGTCTAAAACTATTTCTGAATTCAAAACAATGCTCACGCTTTCCTTCTGTCGGCGTTCGCAACCAGTATAGATGAGAAACGCTATGAACTTCTCTGATTCCACCAAAAAACCATCTAATGTAATATAAAGTTAAAAGGTTTTCTGCAGACCCTAAGGAGGTTGGAAGTATTTCTAATCGATTCGTTATAATAGATTATCTATACACTATCAATTTTATTACCCGTAGACCACTTTTTTTGTATTGTCACAGTTGACTGCTATCTGGCGACATCTACCCCCGGCCCACAGAAAACGGTTGCTGAGTTGTTTACGTCTTTGCATCAGTAAATATTTCAGATGATCTCTTTGAATATTTTCTCTCTTAATGTAAAAAATAATTTTCTACTTTTGTCTCTTGTGATTCGGTTATCCATAGAATATCTGACAGCCATTTTTCCGTATTTTGCGCACACACAGACGGGCAACCATTTTGTAAGACTAAAGTCAAGGGAATAAATACTTGCACTAGAGAACATTGAAAATTTTGAAATTCAAACATTGTGTTTGAATGTATGGTTGCTTGCGCACTTTCAACAGTATGCAGTAGAGCTTGTACTGAAGTGATACAGTAGAAAAAATGAAAATATAAAGTATAAAATAAAGTTTAAGATTTTCTTTTAAATTCACAAATCTGTTAATGAAGATTCTGATTATTGCGTATCAAATTGATCATTTCAGAATTCTTGAAATATCTTGACAAGATCTGCTCAAGATTTATCACGACAGATTCTGATACAAAACTTGTGGAAAATCTGCAGCATAGCCTTCCATTCAGAATCTTGACAGGTTTCGATAAATCTGCACAAGTTCTTGAAAGACCTCGGGCGAAACTTGAGAAATCTTCAAAGATTTATCAAGATCTGCGTTCAAGGTTTTTCTGCTGGGTTTATTTCCATCTCTGGCTGCTGACGATCGACTTGAGCAATCGAGAGCCACGCTCGGTTTTCTTCCTTTTTGTTTTCCACATTCAGCAAATACACTTGGCTGGTTATATAAATAATCACAGTCATCTTCTCTGCCCCCTCACTCCGCATACATACATAGTTTTACGTGTTTATCTTTATATTGTAGGAGACATTGTTCTCGCTTTGATTCGATTTCACACGCACTGAAACATTTCAAATGTTTCACGATGTCCGCTTGTTTCAGATGAACAACACCGCACATCTATGCTGAGGTATCGATATTAATTATGAGTTAAAATACAACGACTCTTTTTGACACATTCAGCAAGTGAGAATAGCACTACCTTTCATTCTTTTAGGAATGAATTTTTGTTGCAAAAATATGATTCAATTTTTTCGAATAAGCAGTAGAGTTCTTATGTCTTCAATGTGTCTATTCCCATCGAGATTACCTAAGATTTCTAATATAAATCGGCTTTGATAAAAGAAATAATAAGAGCGACTTCATTGTGTTTTTCGTTTCAAAGGACCACTTCTAACTGTTTTAGATAATATTTCAATTAAACAGTTCATCATTTCGATTAAGGGAAAAAAATATCGAATAAAGTTCTCATTTAACACAAAAAATTTATGAAACTAATCAGAAAATCACTTCTTCATTTTATATTTCAGTCCGAATTATCAACAACAGCTATTAAAACGATGAATAAAGAAGGAGCGAAAAAAGAAGTGTTGGAAAAAACCTCTATCATATCATCTAAAAGTCAGAATTATCTATCTGACAATTTTGATGTTAATAATGATCTACAATATATTGACAATACATACAATCGAGTTCATTGCGATATCAACAAGATAAAACAAATGTATCCAGATAATGTAAAGAAAATATGTTTTTATGACAAAGACAAAGCATATAAAGAATTTTCAAATTTTCATAATGTACCATTCAATGTTAATGGAATAGATTATTATACATCTGAACATTATTTTCAATCAAAAAAATTTCAATACGAGCCCCGTAATGATTCTGTTAAGGAAAAATTAAATGAATTATATAAGAAACTATTAGAATCTCCGGCACCTTCACATGCCTTTCGTTTAGTTAGAGAATATAAAGAATATGTTGATCCCGAATGGAGTAAAGAAATTAAACCTAATCTATTAAAAAAAGATCTTATTATGAAAGAGGCAATTTATTATAAATTTTCATTTTATCCAGAACTAAAACATTTATTATTAAATACGGGTGATACAATATTAATTGAAGATTCACCAACTGATTTATACTGGGGAATCGGTGGTAATCATAATGAACCTGGTAGAAATCGATTAGGTGAATTATTAATGGAATTAAGAGATGATTTCAGAAATAATAAATAGTTGAAAATATCGTCTCTTACCTTATACTTTTCCTCATCGAAAGAGAACTACTGTGTGTGAGTGATTTGCATAGCCATTTATCGTTCGAATAAGAAAACTGAAAAAATAAAGTTGTATAGATCTACTCTTTCTCTTAAAACGTATCACACTTATGTTTTACAATCTATGTGTTATAGTAGCGATTCTTTTTAGAAAATGTTTTAGTTTAGGTCATCATGAGGTGTCTCCGGATGCCACAAGTCTTTTTGGCGCTTTTTGTGATATCCTACCTTTGTAAAATAAATCTATATATCTATCTATCTATTTTCCAGTTTCGTCGTTTATACAGAAACTTACCTCTCAGTAATCACCTTAGTACAGAAGACTTTTCCACGCGTATAGGTTGAGGATAATGGGACTACTGCGGTCGTTTGACCTGTCATAGTTTCGTTGTTTGATAAATAAAGAAAAGGTTTATAAAAAAAACAACAGCAAAAGACGAGTGTACTCTGTTATTGTAGAAAGTGAATCCGACTAGTTGACTAAGTTGGATATAGTAAGCTCAATGATCTAGTACTGCAGTTCTTGCTTACTAATAGCAATTGTGTTTAGTAGTTCTACTCACTAGTCTAGAAATCTGATATTCTGGATTATTTCATTACTTAAATAAATTCTGGACATGGTCCTTGATTCTTTATTCATCTTCCCCTTATATAAGATAATTATTAATTAAACTTGACTTGATCAAACATTCTTTCATTGAATTAAGTCATTTTTTCTCTAATGGATGAACGTTTAATTCTTGGAGATAAATGTATGTATGTACATGCTGATTTGAACACTATTTCTGTCTCATCTATTTCCATAGTCTGACTGACACATTCAAAGTATCAGAGTCTAACAGCAGGTTATTTTATTGAGAAAAAAGATTATTAGATCTTAAAAAAAGATTAAAAAAGATTTTAGATTTTGTATATCCATTTTATACACGTACTCAGTTATAAGTATGCATATGTAGAAAGATAAACAATTTTCCAAGGTTCAAAACGAGCTGTTGACAAGCTTCTCAAACATATGCCCACATAGAGCAATTGTCAAAATACCAGACAGATGTCAGGATTTCCACCCACCCCAACACTTTAAAGGAATACTTCTTTGATGCTTCTACTCAGGCCCGGAATGTTTTATACATATAAAGATAGAGAATTCTTCAGGCTCCAAATGAGCTATAAATAAGTCCAAAAATATACCCAGATGGGTCAGTGGTCGAAATATAGTACTGGAAAAAATTATAGAGCCACTGGCTTTTTGAAATTTTTCGATGAAGCCGAGTGGCTAGCTGAAATCGGAGTACTGATTTGGATAGCCCTTGAAGCTCTCTATCAAATGCAGCATGCATCAAAATTCCAGAAAAAAGGTTTTGAAGAAAGTTTTGCAGAAAATCAATTGATCATGAGTGTTCGACGCCAGTTTTGACCATTCTCTTCCAATTCAATCGATGTTGTTCAAGAACTGTATTAACATTCCTTCGAGAAGTCGTGGTGAGGCTGAAACAAGTATGTGTAGAGAGGTTTTGACGTGTTATGGAATCTGTGTCATAAATAGATGAATTGTATTCATTGAACTGTGCGCCTGTGAGAAAGCTTCCCAACCGTCATTGGCAATACAGCTTGACAAGTGGCAATCTTTGTAAGATTCAATGAAAAAACATAGAAAATGGCTTTTGGTTAAACATCTGCTAGTTTATCCAAACTTTGCTTCACTTGAAAGAGTGTTGTTACTTCTGATTTCAAAGAATATCCATCAGTATATTGTTCTGTGTCACTTCATCGTAAATAGCATCAAGAGGCGAAATCTGCAATTCATAATTAATTAACTGTTTGATTCTAGTGCAAATAACACCAGTTATAACGTTTCTAAGAGACGTTCTCTGGAAAAGTTACAGTGGTTCGGTCAACGTAGAATAGAGTCCGAACAATGTGCTATCGCAAAAGTCGATTTTCATCGAACATTCTGTACCGATGTCCTCTAAGCATCCCAGATTCCAGTCTGATGATTTGTAACATGTTTTACTTCATAATTAATTGTTGCTGTTGAATTGGTTTCCTCTTTCAATGTTACGAGTGCTGCTTGTAATTCATGCAATTATGTTTGAAACAGAAATAGTTGTATATCTAAACTTGTTTTCTGTCCTTGTAGAGAAGACAGCTGTTGACAATAACTATCAACTGGCTGTTGCGCACTTGTAACTTGGCTTTGAGCATTATCACGTGCATCTTTGACACTATCAATTTCACCAGAATTTACACACACATGTACACTACATAATGGTTTTGTAATGATAGTATTAACTGGTTCTGTAAGCGGACTGAGTATATCTTGTATCTAACAACTTTTTGAATGGGGCGGTAGATTGATTCAACAAAAGAACTCAAAAATCGTTTTCGTCGACGACGAAGATTGCATATTCTTGCTTCTTCAAGTTTTTCTTGTGCAACTAGGAGAGCATTCTCTCCACTGACCAAATTCTGTTATTTGGGAACAAGTTAGATTTGAGATCAATTGATTGATAGCTATCTTATTGTGGGTATTGATGTCAGCCAAAAGTGAATTCAAAATATTTCATTGAGGGATTCCCGTACGCTTCTGTGTATGCTGGAATAACCGTTTCATTCATTTTCGTTTCATACCAAATCTGTGTAACTTCATCCGTGCCATTAATCAGTGTCGTTAGACAACAGAGCAGCAGTAATATTGTCATAATTGATTTCATTATGGTCGATGAGTTGACAAATTCGATTTGAGTAAAGTGGTGGTGTGAATGTGCTTAAACTATGTATATTTATAGTTCTCAAATTTACTGTATGTTTTTTATAAAGCATCATTACCATATACGATATTTTTCGTTCAGTGGTTTTTTCCCTTATTAGGCAATTTACCGGCACTTTTTTTCGCTTATTCTGTCCTAGAACGTTTATGTCTTTGTTTAGAGAATATTTAGCTCTACTGTAGATTACTGTAGATGCAATCTTCGTCGTCGACGAAAACGATTTTTGAGTTCTTTTGTTGAATCAATCTACCGCCCCATTCAAAAAGTTGTTAGATACAA